TTACGTGATCTATGTCGACGACAAGGTGATGAAATTGAATATTTAAACGAGAACGTTCGTCAATTACGTATTCTTACTAAGAAAATGGAGCAATTGCTCTGTTTAATTGTACAATCTTCGTCATAATTAAAAAGGAAACTGAGAGAGGATGATGAAATCAAGTGAATCAACATTCACATAGACGAACATTTGTAAATGATATTGTAAAATTTCTTGTATTTGTTTTCATGTCTATGATAATTCATTGTAAATAACAGATGTGAACAGTTTTTGTTAAAATACAGACGAAAACATCTATATTTCATATATGTTTTTGTGATATGAGTATGAAGTTCAATGAAGACATATTGATTCTCATCATTACGTGTTCTCGAGTATTGTCTATGTATGATACTATCTATTTAATCTATTGTTATATATTCTAGATATATATATATATATATAGTTTAACATTATTATTATTTTCGGTGGTCAATATGCCTTCTAGAATTCGATCAAAAAAGAATACAATCGATCTTCGACCAATTCCAATTCGAGGACCAGTAAAAACAAACTATATTTACCAGTGAATATTCATATAACATTTTGATTTTATTTCTTATAGAAAAATGACAGTTATCAATGGAAATTGATAGCTTTATTAGAATTGAATGAAAAAGGTCAAGTAAGTAAAGATAACTGATAAGAATTCTATCTATTAACTTACCATATGATTATTTTTTGAAATAGTTTATTTTACCATTCTCACGAAGAATGGTACATATTGATTGTTTTCTTTGGCCAAGAAGTGATCCTAATCTTCCTCTACCTGGCTATCGAGAATGTGGTTGTATAGATTGTGAAAATAAAACGTGTTTAGATCACATTCTTCAAGATGATGATGATGATATTGAGTCGCCATATGGCAACTTACATCTAGAAGAAATATCTATTCGTTCAGATGAGAAAAAGTAAGTGCTTATAGAATTTATTAAAAATTATTCTTATATATATTTTCTTTCATTATTTCTAGTAATAGTGATGATAGCCATTCATCAAAAGATGATAATGATAATGATGACAATAATATATCTGAATCCTTATCATCATCAATATCATTCAATCAATTTAACATCAATAATGATGAGGATAATGATGATAGTAATGAGAAAGAATATTATAATGATGACAATAATGAACTTTCTAGTTCTCGTGAACTACCAACAATTTCAACAGCAACATCTCCATTTCTATGTGATCCTTATGAGTCTTATGATTGGGAATGTTGATCTATCGTGTATATAGATTTCTATATAGTTTTTCTGTTTTTATTTTTGTGTTGTATGAATATGTGTGTCTGTTTGTCTATAATTCAAAATGTATATATCTAAAGAAATATTGATATAGATCAATGAAGTATAGTTTATTTTTGTTGTCTGACAAAGTTCAATACATAATTTTCTTGTCAGATCAGATACCATCGTTATATTATTGTATAACGGTTAAGATGGACTTGGGTAAAATGAGTTCATATGAATAATTTGTTTTTTTAAGCAATATTATAAAATATCAAAATAGTATTGTTAAGAATAATTGATTGAAATAGAATAACTATAGGAATTCGTTGTATTTTCTAGATTATTATTATTATTATTATTACAAGACTTATCTATTAACAAGTTTATTTTTGCTTTTCGTGATGAATAATAAAGACAAGAAAAATGAAGAATATCAAACATTAGTGAAATTGAATCGACCAAGAACATTAAATTTGGTAAATATTCTTTTGAAAATAAAGTGATTCTAAATGATCATTCGCATTCTACATATATATATATAGGAAACACAAACAATTGATGTTAATATCAATGAAACGGTAGAAGTCATTGATTTATGTACACCTAATATAGATATCAATGACATTTCGATTGTACCGGTAGTCTTACAAAATACATCAATATCAAACATAATGATCGAACGATTTCCCAATATTCAACGTCTATTATCTGTATTACCCTGGTTTCCAACAAATAACACACAAAATCAAGGTTATCCATTACTAGCGAATATACCACGTATGTAGAAGAGATAGAAGATAAGAAAGTATTGTACGAAATTTTATTTCTTTTTTTGATTTTATGTAGCTCATCAATTGACTCCACAAGAATTAGTTCGTCGACGTGCTGATACTTTTAAACCAGCATTCAATATTATCAATTATGATTCGACTATACCATCATTTTTACGTGAAAAATATCAAATGTTCTTTGGTGATTTACTTGAACGTTTAAAAGTGGACATGACTATTTTGGATTATAATTATACACGTTTAAATCAATATTTGAAAATGTTAGTTTATGAACAAATACGTGTATTACATCTTCGACTACATGAAATTCAACGAATCGATGAAAAAGAATATCCACTTGCATTGGGATTCTTTTTACAATTTGATGGTATATGCTTTTTTTTTGTTGATAATATTCTTGTTCTATTTTAATACATTTATTGATTGTTTATATAGTCAACATGTTCTATATGAAAACATGTTCATTTCGTTATGCTCGACCACGTACATTAAATGAAGGTCTTTTTTGTATACGAGAGCCAGAAGCTCGTTATGAATTAGCTGCATGTGGTAATTGTGGATTATGTTATCCTCAATATGATATGAAATATCGATCGAAAAAATCAATTATTGAATTTAGTCAAGCTCATAAACATACATTTCTCAATGGATATCAAACCATTTTAAATGGTTCAGCTGTATGTTTTATTGAAATAATCTATTTTTAGATGATTAACATAGAAAATTTTTTTATGTTCATTTAGTCATGTCATACACGAAATATTATTTATGCATTAACATGTCCATGTGGTAAATATGATTATATTGGTGCAACTACACAAAGTTTACATGATCGTCTAAGAAGTATAGATATTTAATTTTTCTTATCAATATTGAATCTATTTTCTATAGAACATCGTGAACATGGTAATCGAATTATACATGAATTTTTATTAGGACAAGAAAATATTAAACGTAATTTACTACGAGATAAATCAAATGAGTATTTTTTTTTTAAATTTCATTTCTTATTATGCATGTTTTCTGTTAACTTTTAGAGTTTTAGCAAAAGATCGTATGAAACTTTATCAACATTCGGTACGATGTCCAGTAGCTATGCAAATTTTTTTGGATGCAAATCCACAATATTGGCGATTTGTACCAATGACATTAGAAGAATCAGAAAGACCTGAACAACAAATAATTACATCATATACTTTTACTGAAGAGTTTAATTGGAATATACGATCAAAAGAAGATACTAAAATCTATGTTGAAGCTGTTCCAAAACCACCGAAACGATTAACTTTTTCCAATCGACAAATCCTGTTACAAACACAATATTTTCATAAAATACGTGATAGACCCTTGCCAAATCAAGATATCGACTTATATAATGCAACAATTGTAGCTGTTTGTAAGTTAATTAATATTATTCAAAAATAGATATTTATGATTGAAACATATTTTGTATTTCCTTTCTATACAGTACCAGAAACTTGTTCAGATATGTTTCGTTTTACTATTGAATCTTTATTCATTACTTATGCTGAAACAAATCTCAATTCAATTGGTAATGTTTTGAATACGAATCAAAATGGTGATCATTATCCTATGAATGATCCTTGGTTGATTCGTGGCAATGAATGGTGTCACGGATTATTACGTCGACCTCAACCAAAAACTATACTATCGACAGATATTGTGGCAACTAAATGATTAACAATAAATTTATGATTATCGTTTAAAAAAAAGCGAAACAATCGAATAGACTTGAAATTGTAAGTGTGAAATACATGTATATTAATTCATGTTTTGTTTTCTTTTTCTTTCTGTTTTGTCCAACAATACAAGAAACATCGTGAATTCTTTTTCTCATGACTATTTTTTGTTAATATTGTAGATTTAGCTTTCTGTTATGGCAAATAATTTATCATTATACAATACGATCGATCAAAATAATCCTAAAATGAAACAACTATCGGTATGAATCATTGTCATTTATATTAATACATATCTATCCTAGTTATGTTTTAAGAAACATCGATTGTTGTTCGATTATTTCTTATCAACATTATTACATCCACCAGCTCCTGTATGGTCTTCGACACGACTTGCTAAAATACAAGAACGACGACCAATTAAAGATCCCATTTTCATCTATTTAAATCCGATGAATACGGTTCAATATACAAGTAATGATAATAGTATGAATTTCAAGTCAAATTAAAGAAATAGACATCAAGAAGATTATGGTGTTTATACTGTTTACATTTAATTTTACTTTATTTCTATGAATATTGTTTGAATAAACAATAAAAAACAATCTTTTCATAAAACGAACAATATCTGTAGATCTTTGTTTCATATTCTAATGAATATTTGTTATTCTCTAAACTTTGATTTATTTATATTTTAGATAATTGTATTAATTTATAGATGTCTTCCTCACATCATCATCATCGAACATCGAGTACACGTC